TTGTTGATTTTAGTATTTCGAGTGGGGGGTTGCCAGTGATCCTGGCTTTGAGAGGAGCTGCAGTTCAAGTGCTCTTAAACGCCTGCCTGCTAGCCCCTTCCCTTAACCCATCCCTTCGTGCCAGGTCAATATTGACCAAAACCATGCTTTTTTCCCCCCAGAAAAGGTGAGGGGACGCATTGTTTTTTGGGGATGCTGTACTGGGAGAACGTGGAGCTGGCTGACCGCTTTTTTGGAGGGATGCCTGGTGCCATCCAGGCTTCTGGCAGCACAGCTCGCCGCAGCCTTTAAACTCTGTCCCAGGCACATCCTCACCCACCCGACTGTTTGTGCTCTTCTAATGAGCGCTGGCTTCTGGTCCCCGCAGAGCAACACGGAGCCTTCGTAAGGAGCCCTAGCCCGGCGTTTGCTCCAGCACGGTGCTGGGGCGGGAAGTGATGCGGCCAGGTGGTGTTTGGCTTTTTTTTTAATTATTATTATTAAAAAAAAAAGCTGTTTGAAACGAGGAGGGCTTTGGAGAAGTGCGGGCGTGAGCAGGACCTCCCTTCTGCACCCTCGGCAGCGGGGCTGGTGCGAGGTGCTGCTCCCCGGAGAGCGGGGCTGCGTGGGGGCTTGGCACGTCCCGTGGGTCACCGGCATCCTCGGGGATTGCTGCTGCTGTCCTCGAGCACCCCTCTGGGGCCCTTTGGGAGCAGCGTGACCGGCCGAGGTCTCAAGAGGTGAAATCGAAGGGTGCCAAGGGAGGGTGTGGGAGATGTAGCAGTGCGGGGCGGCTCGCCATCGCTCACGCCTTCGTTTGGTTCTTGGTGGGTTACAAATGAGCGCTGCTGGCAGGGGGATTCACAGCCGGCGCTGTGCTGGCAGAGGTTCACTTGGGAGCGTCGAGCCCTTGATATGTTGTTTCAAATAACAAAATACCAGCCTGTTGTTTTACATGCAAATGGGCGCTCTCTGGTAACTAAGTGCTTTCTGAGGAAGCTCTCTTCCAATCCGATCCTATTTCATGTTTTTAACATAAATCCGTTTATCTGCCTCAGAAAAGCCGGGCACTTGCTGCTTTGTTGCTGTACAGCCTTTGTCTCCGTCCCCAGAGGGGTCAGGCTCTGTGCAGAAGCAGCGAAGCCGAGCAAGCGGCTGACGCACAGAGCTCGCCACGAGCTCGCGGGGGGCGTGGGGAGGCCACAGAGACACTCTGCGTCCCTCCCTGCGTGCGGGGCAGCCGCTGACACAGGGGATTCTCTCCTTCCTCTCCTTGCTCCCCACTCCTCTTTTCTTTCTCTTACCGCTTTCTGGTCTCTGATCTGTTATCACTGTCTCTCTTTTAATAAGTGTGAAATGGCAGCCTCTGGGCACCATCAAAGCATGGCTTGTTATTGTCTCTTATTGTCTCCGTGTTAGCTCCTGAACAAGTTCGGACCATTTTTAAATTTTTTTTTTAATAAGGTAGTAAAATTCATGCTATTTCTCTTTCCTGTTGAGGTGCTTTCTGCCGTTAGTTGATGCGTTATGGTCTTTGTTTCCTCTGGCTTTGTGGAGCCTGTTCCAGGGCGTTTGCTGGATTAAAGCCAGTAAGACATTGCATGGGAAGAGCAGCGTCACCGACCTTCCCAGACAAGCAGCACCTCCAGATTTGGTACCAAGTGATCTACCCAAAGCCAGACCATCAGCTTTAGTCATCACTATTTCTTTATTAATTTATTCTCCTTCATTGGTCAGGTGGAGAAGAGCAGATTATTTCTTAAAGGTGTCACTCGCTCTTCATTTCTTTTTAAAATTGGCTTTGGTTCAATTAGCAACTTTTGCAAGAGGCTGGCTGGGCAGCAGGATGCCAGCTGAAATCCTTGCCTCATCTAAAAGCGAGCAGCTGCCGCCTCCTCCCTGTTGCACCCCTTCGCCCCGCAATACCAGGGCGATACCATCGATACCGGGGTGGTGGCCGCATCGCCCAGATGCTAGCAGGAGAGGGGCACATTTCCATAGAGATAAATTCGGGATTGCTGCAGCTTTTGGGTAACAGAAGCAGGATCTGCCTGTTTAGGCGGGTGCTGCATGGAGTGGGGTGGTTCTCTGCTCTCTGCGAAGATACCTATTTTCCTCGTCTGCTTTTACACACGAGGCCGTGACAATCTAATGACCTTTCCGTTGTAGCTCCGCAAGCAGAGACGAGTGTGGTGGGGACTCCCGCTTCCCAGAATAGTTTTCCTCCAAGATCTTCCTGTCCAAGTCTCTCATTGCATCTTGCTTTTTGAAATAATCAGCCCCCGTGGTTATTTCAGTTAACGCTAATTACTGGCATGAACTAATTAATGTGGGTTGACTTTCCTCTTCTCTTTCTAATGCTTTTTTAACCCACTGACACATTCCAATTAAGGGACTCATGCAGGGACTGGACTGAAATGACTCAGAGCAATCACAGTTGGAATAAATCGTTTGCTTTGCTGAAGGTCACTAATATTTTTTCAAATTGCCAGCGTTGGGTATTTGTGCCTGCCAACAAGGAGATGACCTGACCTTACAATAAGCATCTGAAATATCTTCAAGCGTGCCTCCATCTTGGTGCAAGCAGATTTGCGGGTACCACGTCGATAAGCGTTTGATGTGCTGAGAACGGTGGCACAGAAAACAGCCGTGGGAGGCTTCTCATCAGGACTGCAGACCTTGAGGCAAGTGGTCTTGACCTCGCAAGGACCTTGCTTGTTTGTATCTGTAGCTGTGCAATGGTAATAGAGGGCATACACTGGATGTTACCTCCCTGCTCGTGCTTGTACAAGTGATTTCTTTTCCCCTTGGTTGGGTTATTGTAACTTGCGGAGTCCTGTGGGTTCTGGCCGAGCCCTGGGCTCGCTTCCCTGCCTCTGCTGACAAGGCCCAGTTGAGAGGCGGCTGTCTTTGGGCTGGGGGGAAGCCACAAATCTGGTGGTGATAAAGCCTGCAAAGCTGCTGTTGCAGTGTTTGTAGCCCGTTTAACAAAATGCTGGTAGGAGCCGTGTGGAAGGAGAGCCTTCTGCTCCGTGAAACCTGGTGTTCCCAAAGTCCGAGGTGAGAGCAATGGCAAGTGGGAGGCAGCCGGCGGCTGGAGCAGGGCTGGAGAGCCCCAAGCAACGCTTGCAAATCTTTCCTGTGCACTTAAAGTTGAGGCTTTACTTCTGCAGCTTCAGATTCCCATCCTTGCTTCTCCTCAGGTTGGCGTTTTCCAGAAGGTGATGCTACTTGCTTCCCAGAGGTGAAAACCCATTTAGCTTTTGCAGGGCCAGACTCTCTCCTGGATATAGGGAGTCTACGCTGCAGAAGTGCCAGCAGCAGGGCGAGCCCGTGAGTTGCCATTCTCGGTCTCTTCCTGCCTTATCCAAGTCGGGTTGTGATGCTGAAGTTCCCCTCTTTCCTCACTGTGTCATGTCATCCGGGTTTTGCTGGAAAACGCTTGTATTTCTACCTGCTCTTCCAGCTACTGCTCACGATTTTAAGGCGCAGAGCTGCTGGTGTGTCCCGTGGGCAGGTGTGATGGGGTGGTGTGGGTCTCCCTTCTCCCAGGGGGATTTAAACATGAGCACCTCATCGGTGCATCTTGTAATTGCTGGGTTAATGGAGGTGAAAGCACCTTGATTAAACTGCAGTAGAGAGCAGGTAGCAAATATGTGATTAGTATTAATAGCGCTGGTCAGACTATATTATGCAAATGATGGGAGAATAGATGATTTAGTTATTCATCTTTAACCTTTATTTTTGTTTAATGTGACCTTACTCATCAAGGCTCTCATTACCATCTCTGGCTGTTCAGCGTATGTTCGTTTATTCTGCTGCCATCGACCCATCAGCTAAACCCGTGTTCCCGTCCGGTGACGCCGGGTGCAGCCTGGACACCCCTCCTTGCGGGTGCTCCCAGGGGCTGGTTCCCAGCCCTGCAAGGAGTTGGGAACTCGGGGTCCCGTTCCCCATGTTTTGGGTAGAGCTGGTTACACCAGGTCATACAGCCCCTGCTGTGGGACACGTTCCCTTCTCTCAGCTGTCCGGTTACGGCTCTAACCCCATGTTTCCTATCGGTTTTGTAGCCGTCTCCGTGGGTTTTT